TATAACGTGTGACCACTAATCATTTGTTCAATTAGTGTGTTCCTTTACACACTGTAATCTTTTTAACGCTACTGTATATATACATTGAGTACAGCGTTTTTCATGAAATTCTACCTGTTAGTCTAACAGTTGCTAATTTTTTTCTGATTTTTTCAACTGACACAGAAACATCGAAATCATTCAGATAACTTCTTATGATCATTAATGACATTCTTTTATCTAGGAGACATTTTTTAAAAATTTTCTGTCATTAACAGATGTGGTGCGCTTTTTACAGCCTTTTCCTGCTTTGCCGTTGATTAAATTTGTCTCCTGACACCTTATAGAAAACTTTCAGTCTCTAGATGTAGTCACCAAACTACGTACCTGTCTTGAAATGTTAACATAGGAAATACCACTTTCTCGTCACACAACTGTTTATTTTTGCCCATTCTACTCTTTTATTTAATGTCATTGCTTCTTGACTAAATATCATTGTAGCCCTGACTAGGAAACAGTCCTAACCTCAAGCGAATGGAAAACTTATGGCATTGTTTCAAAACTCTTGTCCGAATGAGGTTCGCATGAAATTAAAAGAGAATTAATTTAGGCTATAATTGTTTCCGGACATTATATAATAATGAAAGCAAAGCTTAAAACTATTTTCAGCTCGATGAAACATCGATGTGAAGCTATAATAAAAAATAAAAACTACCCCACTGAGTACTGATAACCCACTGCAATCATCAAAATTTAATGTATATCAATATTTATTGACGCCTAACATTATTTGCATTGAAAACATTTGAATTTTGCTTAATGTATTGAATTTAGTATTAAATTCTCTTTTAAATGATATAAAAGACTTTGCCCTTTGTGCAACGTAACAATTTCTATAAGCATATATATTTAAAAAAAACGTAAGAATTTTCAAAAGAGTCCACATGTTTGCCCATCACTGTAAATGATGTTTTAGCACGCTGAGATCTAAAGTAATTCTTAAAATTTTTTTGATCAACTGTGTGTGATTTAGAATAAATTCATGAAAATGGCAATTAAGTTTTAAATAATAGGATGATGGAAAACGTATTGCAAGAAACATTTTTGTGCAAGCATACGCTGGCGCTTTTCTAAATTATAGAATGTTAAGAGTATATAAAAATCATTTTCGAAATATAAGCATATTCTACATAAATTATTTGAGTGCATTTATGTAATTTTTTTTTTCAAAAATATTCAAAACGTAAGGTTACGACTAATTTTCAATGACAATCTTTTTATAATTATTTTGATCAACTATAAACACAATAGTGATGTTCGAAATTCATAGTGTAAACATTAATTTATGGAAAGTTGCATGGTACAAGTGTGGATACTTGAATGAAAGACAAAAATGCATCCACTGTTGGAAGGAAATAAATAATAAAATAACATGTTGTTGGCAAAACACTCTTTTATATAATATATATTATTAATTTTCAAAACTTTGTCAAACGACATAACTATTTTATTAGAAGTGTCTCGAGAGGGATTGGAATGTAGAAGTAGCCTTGTATGCAAAAAAGCAAGAATTTATTGTCACTTTCTTATTTATAATTGAGTCCATCGTTGCTTTCTGTTACATTTATAGAAAAGTTATCTTGTTAACAAATTGTTGTGCTTGCCTTATTTTTTCGTTAAAAGATTTCCGTCACAACAGCAGCTGAGTTCTCGAAACCGATCTTTTATTGAAAGATTAACCATTGACCTCGAACTTTTGAGTTGTTTTCTCTAGTTTTGATTACATAAAACTATTTCTCAAAATGTATAATTTCCTCTTTCACTTATTAAATCAGGATACATATAAATTTGTCATTTATTAATCACTTTTGCTTTTATTGTTATCTATTAAAAAGTGCCCGTAAACTAAAAGTACCCCTAACTATTTCAGTTTAAGATTCAAAATGAGCCAAAACACAAAAAAGGATTACAGAACATTTTAATTCATTGGTAAACTTCAGACTAATCTTTTGAAAAATTTAAACCTTTTGCATTTTTTTTAATACAGAAAATTGTGTACTGTTAGAATGTGTACTGTTATCATTGGAAACCACTAAAGAGCAACGTTTCCAAAAATGCTTTTTTTGTTTTTCATTAAACGATTGAATATTTTATAAAAAAATATTTAATAAATAAATAAGTGAATTTCTGTGCATTTATTTTCTTTAGAACTGACGCTACTTCGGAAAAATGTCTTCCTCTGCATATCCAGATACATTAATCTTTAACTTATTTATTTTTTTCAAATTCTCTTATTATTTTGATAATGTAAATTGGAAACACAAACGCTAATTTTTAATTGTTTAAGAACCCATTTATATTTTTGGGATCTATTTGAATTTGTTTTATCTCAAAAGAGTTTTGTCAAAATGCAATACATGAAACACAATCCATCGTTGCATTTGATATTTAATAAAACGTTGTGTTCCCAAATTTTACTGGTAATTGCATGTGCCTGCACATTCTCTCTTTATTCCTCAATAGTTACAAAGAATTTTATTACTTTATCTAACCAGCCACAGACGTTACTTTTGAATGAATCACAATGGATTTCAAGTTTATGTTAAATTTGCTCCAGACATTTGTCTGTATTGCCCAAATCTGGCTTCTAAATGATCAGTTTGGAACTTTCCAGTTAAAACATATGTGAAATTCTACTCCGTCAAAAGATACTTTATTAGTTCTGGGATGGTATTTACTGTATGCCTCAAAGCAAAAAATGTTTCCTCGCTTAAACAACCTTCTCGTTTATTTGTGTGTGTTTTAAATTTTTCCAGCAGTCCAGCCACTGAACACACTTTGAAAAAAATTGAGTCTATCATCATCCATTGATGAAAAAGGAACACTGTTTTTCAATTTAAGATTTTGACCCTTAGTTGGACTTTTAATATGCATTATTTGCCAGAAATGTATAATATGTTTGATGAATTTTGCAGTGTCCCTAATCATTTCTGTGTAGCTTAATTTTTCTTTTAATATACTAAGTACAGTCACATTGCTTTCTTCAAAATTTTTTAAAACTAATTTAACACTTTGTTTCTAAAAATGTGTTGGTTTTAAAGCTTTTAAACATAATTTAGGAGCTAATTTAACAATAATGTTCACTTCTTCGTTATAAATTTTAAATAATGATGAAAAAGATGCTTTTCGGATTTTAGATAATTCTGAAGAATCAGGATAAATTAAAGAAGAATCAGCATCTTTCTGATGATTCTTTCAGGTATTTCGTATAGATTTGATAAGATGTACTGAATCAAAAATAAGATGTAATTTTTTTGCATTATTAGCTGGATTCTGAATAACACTCTTTATGGTACCATTACACAATTTACAAAAACAATTTCTATATTTACTCTGTTATTAACACTTACAATGCAAACAACTGAAAAACCTACCTTTTCCATGAGTGACAAAACTTCTATAGTCATAGATTGCAAGTCTTCAGCATTCATTTTCTTTACAGGATTCAATGATACTATTTCTTTATTTTTACTCAATAAAGAAAAGTATGAAAAACATTGAATCGAGTAGCTGCTTCTCCTTTCTCAGTAAATCCAATTATTTTATTACATTTATATGTAATCGCTGATTTGATGAAAGTTTCATCAATTTGTAATATTGTTTCTCATGGTCTACTGCTATACTTACGGCTATGTTTATTCAAATTTAGTAATTTCATTTGCTCTAAAATAAAATTTGCTGCCTCAAAACTTTCAGCATTACAGTTTTCAATATATTTTTCCCGTGATTGAATAACCGTAACATGATGAGGAACAGAATTAACGGAAGAGATTTCTTCAAAGACATTTACTGTATTAAGAATATTTAACAATTCGCTAAAATATGTTAACCTAGGAGGATTATTAAGATTTTTTTCCAACACAGAAGGTATATTTAATTCACGATTATTATTAAATATAACAATAGAGAGATCTGTATTTATTTTCAGGGATTTTAAAATAGAAGGACAATTTTCGCAATTCATAAAAATAAATGTTATGCAACTTTCACAATCATGTTTTAGAACATTATTTTTAGATAAGAAATCAGATATGGGATTATTTTCTCGCATTAGCAGATTTTCTTTTAAACATTCAAATTCTTTCTTAATAAGAATTAGTAGAAGCAGTTGTTCGTCTAATTGTTTCATTTTCCTTTCGTTGAATTGTCACCGAGCGTTCTTAAATTTTTCATTCAAGCCGGGATGGACAACCAGGAAAATGCAGGATATGGCCATTTCTAGAAGTAATTTTTGGATACACTCTAGGTATTTCGCCGTACCAGTCTTGTCTGTAATTTTATCTTTTCTCACAATGAAAGATTCAGGAAATGTTTCATACGTTTACTACACTATTGTTAGTATTGTTAAAATCCCTAGGAATTTTTTCTTTTCCAAGTTTGTAACAACCTTTGTTCATCTTTTTTGGGAAACAACTTACCCAGAAACATTACGGCTGCCCCGATTTATTAGAGGTGTAATTTGGTACACAACGGTAACGAGGGCATTATTATGAAATATTATTGCAGCTTTTAGGTTAAGTTATTAATAATATTTTCAGTTAATTAAGATTTGACAGAATAAACAAAAACACCATTTTACATTTAAGCACTATTAATTTCTCTTATAAAACAAAATATCTTCTTTTACAAATAATCAAGGATGTTGGCATATATGCGTCAGTTTATTATGTGTTCTCAAGACTCAAAAGAATAAAAATTCAATGACAAGAATAATACAAATATCGTACCTTTTATTTTTTGCTTAATAAAGAATTCCTGATTAATCCTTTAGGCAGAAAATCCAGTCAATTTATCCTGAGTAATGAATATAATTACACGTGTGATAACCTATCAATTTTGTCAGCATACAAGATGGAAGTGTTAATGTAATCGTTTCTCCCGCCAAATTCTTTCCTCCTTTGATTACGTGACCGGTTTCAGGTCAGTCCAGTGTCAGGGTTTACTCTCTTCTAGATAGCTTTGGTATAGCTCAGTGGTAGAGCATTCGAATGCCAATTGAGAGGTCCCTGGTTCAAACCAAGGTATCCCCTTCTTCAGGCAAGTGCACAGAAATATCCTTTTTATAATTTCGAAGGCGAGATTGATCTGTTCCGTACTGTATATTTCTAGACAAAGTGTTTTCGCCTCCGTGACGGGTTTGAATCACATCCGTGACGGTGTGCGCACGCATCGTAAAAATTTATCTTCATCCTATTTCTCTAACGCCCCAAAAGAAGTATAACTTCAAAAAGAAACATCACAATAAAAGCAAATTGTGTGTGTTCGCCCTCTTGTCCAACCGTATCAACTTTTTGACCTTGCACGTGCTGTCCTGGCATGTGACCTAAGAGCATACATCAATGAAGCAAGTTTTGAAAACAGATAAATTACAGAAACTATTGTTATACTTTTCTTTTAATTTATTCCAAACAAAAGTTAACTTGTATGAGTAAAAATAAATGATTTTTTGCATTGGGTCATATTGACCCAAATGATACATTAGATTATAAATTGCAAAAATTATGCTTTCGAATTACAAATAAAAATAAACCCTTCTAGGAGTACATATTTATATTATTTATCTACGATGTCAAGATGTTTCATGAAAATATCCCTGTTCTATAATTTTTTATGAACATATAAATTTTATTTCGGGGCATATAGACTGGAACAGAACAGCAGAGTTAAATATTTTGAAATGCGTTTTCTGTCCATTGGACGTAGATAGTTTCTAGTTTTAAGGACTCCCTTTCATTTGACTGAAAAAGTATCTGTATAATTTTATATTTTTACAGCTTACATGCAGAAACTTTTTCAATCAATACTTTTGGAAATAACACACGATGTATTAATTACATTAACTTTCTTCGCTTCTTTTTTCTTCTAAGCATAAATAACTTATGAAAAACATAATTTAAATTTTTACAATGATAGATATTGTTTTAAATAAACTAATTGAGATTTAGTAGAAATTTATCGTGTAGAGAATGCACTTGTTTTGTTGTGCGAGTTCACTTGACAAAGCTTTTTTCACTCGCGAGATTTTGGAATTTGAGGGAGTTTATTTTAAAGTATTTGAAAGAAAACATTCGACTGTCCAGTGAGTATTTTCTATTCTAGAATAAATATAGGCTATATGATTTAGATTTTCTGAACACTATTAAAGAGCATTGAAATAATTTAAATTTAAGATTTAAGAGAAAAGATTATATTATTTTCTTCTCTAGTTGATCGTATACCTTCTTTCGTGGACAAATTATTTTTATCTTTGTTTTGACTTTGGAGAGAAAAAATTCACTCTAATCAGAACAACCTATTAAAGTTAATAGTGCTCCGAGCTGTAAAGGATTTGAAAATTTAATATCCATTTTGGCACGAGGTTTTCGGTGCTAGGTTTGGTGATTTTCAAGATGCTTAAAAAAACAAGTAATATAAAAACAATTTTTTAAGTCAATTCCTACTTAGATCAAGAAAGAAAAATTTTATCTTAGCTACTTTTTATTTAATAGTTACAATTAATATAAATATGTATATATATATATATATATATATATATATATGTGTGTAAGGATAATTAAATAAGATTAAAAATTAAATTCACTATCTAGCACTTATCTTTTATTTCTTTTTCATTAACTCTTCAAGTATCAAACTAATCACCCATTTATTTCTTCGGAACATATGGCCTAGCCAATAAACATGTCTAATTCCAGATCGTTATATTTAATAGCCCTGTATGTCAACATTAACTTTCAAGTACACTCATAAAATCAGAGGTAATTCTCACATCTGGGTTTAAGTGGTAAAACACTTAAATTTCACTTTGGCGTTCTTTTCTCTCTCTGCATCTTAGCGTCAGATGATATCTAACTTTCATCAATTAAAGATCCTTTTTAAAAACTAAGTTTGTTTCTAACTCAAAACATGTCATATATGACAAATCATAAAATTAAGGTATCCGACTACGTTCGGAACCGTGATTTTAAAAAAGCGCATAAATGGATAATTTTCATAATTTTTAGTGTCACTTAGATTAGAATACATGTATAAAAATGTTTTAAGGACATTTTGACAAAAAAAATTATATAAATACAATATTTCGGCAAAAAATTAACTTAGAATAAGCTTTTTTCAAAATGTTCTCCTTTTGTGAAAAATGCTTCTATTACAATAATATTTTGCCTGTATATAGCTCAGACCTCTGTGCAGAGGCTTAACTATCAGTTTCGAAAAATTCACATTATTTTCAGAGTTACAACCAATTGAAATAACTATCGGCGTTTTTTTCTTAAAATTTCTCCCCTCTGTTGTCATAAAACATGGAAAAACCCACTTCTAAGTTATATATTTTGTAATGATTTCACTCAGCTCTTGATAACTATTTATTTCAATATGAAAATCATCAAAAAAATAAAATTGTATATTGTTTTACAGTTCAATATCAAAAGGGTCCGTAACGATTTCGAGTCTCTTTCGCACTCTCTCCCGTTCCCTGATTTTCCAAGCCAGGAGACCACTGTACTTCGCGGGCTCATTATCGTTCTTCCTATCGCTTAAGGGAAGTCCGAACGGCTCCCTTCAAAAATCAAGTCTTTTTCTCTTCCGGACTCTCTCGCCCTTTTTATATCATCTCTCTTTCTCCTCGTCATCCACCTCTTATCTCTTTGTCGGCCTCAATCCCTCTCGTTCTTCTGCCGCCTTCCGGTCTCGGCTCCCTTGATCTCCTACCCTTCTACCGCGCCAAATCGGTCTCATTTCCTGTTCGCTAGACTCAAAGAAGAGCCGAGGCTGGGTGCACCTTTGTACGTTCTCAGACGTGCCGTCGTCAACGAGTTGTGGGAAAATGAATACACAATGTTAAGGTGCCTCTTTTTGACAGTCCGGTCAGCTGGGAAAAAAAGGTGCTGAAACTCTACCACCCAGTTACGAAATTCCTTCCCAGCAATTAGGGAAATGCCTGGAATTTTCGCAACTTCTGTCGGCAAGAGGCAAGGGATCTGTTGGAAAATAGGGGGAAGAGATATGCTTCGTCACAATTTCAAAAATTCTAGTTGAGCCTCTGTGCAGAGGTCTGAGCTATATACAGGCAAAATATTATTATAATAGATGCATTTTTCACAAAAAGAGACTATTTTCAAAATGGGTCATTCTTTGTTCATTGTTTGTCAAAATATTGTGCTTAAATAATTTTTTATTGTAATACTATTATTAAAACAATTTTATGCATGTATTCTAATCTAAGTGACACTAAATATCATAAATATTATCCATTTACAAGCTTTTGAAAAATCACGGTTCCGAACGTAGTCGGATACCTTAAGTGATGATTACTGTTTTTGAATGCTGCTGAATGTAATACAGGGGCCCACTAATTTCTTGGATCCAAAAACAGTTGACGTCCAAGAACTTGAAACTTTTCGTCAAGCGTGTGAGAAGTTGGGGTTGTTGGAAGATGACAACCACTGGGATGCCATAATGGAAAAGGCCGTACTGTGTCGCTTTTCTTTGCAAATAAGAGAGCTATTTGCAATATTGATATGTACTTGCGGTTTATCCAATCCCCTTCAACTATGGGATAAGTATAAAGTTGCGTTATCAGAGGATATCTTGCACAGATATGAAAGGACGGATCAAGTCAACAATTATCTATGCTTGAATGAAGGTTAAAGGACAAAAGAGGACAAAATAAAAAGGTTTTCCCGGGAAAGAAATTGTAAGACTTTTATGTCCCCCCAGCGTCGAGGAGGTTCGACCGATTTGATCAAAGACCCAATTTTTATAATACCGCATTATTAGATACTCAGGTAAATTGAAACTGGCCACGCCTACTACGTGAGAAAAAAGACATTTATAACAAAATATTACAACGATTTGAGTTTGGTGAAGGCGGGTCTTTTTTCTTGATGCCCCGGGCGGTACAGGCAAAAACCTTTTACTGAATTTGATTCGGCAAAATTTGGACCGTAATGTTGCATTAGCTGTGGCTTCCTCGGGAACCCGCTGCAACTTTTGAGCGGTAAAGGGACGGCACACTCGTTTTTTTAAATTACCTTTTAATCTAGCAAGCGAAAAAACCCCCAACATGCAACATCATTAAGAACAGTGCCCTTGACGCCCCTGTTGAAACAATGTAAGCGGGATCGGGGTGGAACATGCATTATGTCACACAAACGCGCCATCGGGGGCGCTGGGATTCTGCCTACAAGATATTCAAAACAATCGAAAGTTGATGGGTGGTGTGGTAGTGTTATTGGCGGGGGATTTTAGACAGACTTTACCTGTTACAGAGAGACACTGAAGCAGACGAAATTAACCCCATGTCAAAAGTATCTTATCTGTGGAGCAAAGTTAAAAAGCTTTATTTTTACCACTAACATGCGAGTCCAGTTATTCAGCGATGTTGAGTCACATATGCTAAAAAAACTCCTAAAAATTTGGGTGAAGGCCATCTAATTTTAAAAAAGGTATGGGTTCTTTTTCACACACCAATTTTGTCATGTTGTTGAGTCGGAAGATGAACTCATTGATCAATTTTTTCCCGAATCTGAAACAATATTTTTCCCCCGACGATAAATGGTTTTTGTAAAAAGAACTATACTGGCCCCAAAAAAATGAGACTGTTACGAAAATAAATAAAAAAATCTTGGGTGAAATACCCAGCGAAATATCGTCTATAACCCATCGACACAGTCATGTCACCCGGGATGACACTACGAGTTTTCCCCGAGGAGTTCCTGAACTTTTAAACTTATCTGGGTGCCATCACATGGTTGGGAATTGAACCCGTTTTGTTAATGCGCAATTTGGGACGCGCCAAGATTATGAAAAAGTTATTTTGGTTGCGAATCACCGAATTTAGGAAAGCATATTGTGAAGAAAATCTTAGCTGGAGAACCCGGGGAGAAAATCTTCTTATACCCCCGCATCCCAATCATAAATTTTAATTTACCATTTAATTTTAAACCCCCGCAGTTCCCATTAAAACTTGTATTTTCAATGACTATCAACAAATCGCAAGGTCAAACCTTAAGGGTAGCAGGCATACATGTGG